ATAATGTCTTCTTTAGTACTCGAAATATTTGTAAGTTAACAGAAGTATCGGGATTTTCTTTTTTCTTTTCTTTTCTTTTTTTTTTTTTTTTTTTTGAAGTGAAAATTTCTTTAGAATGGGGGTTGATTTGAAAAAGGTGAATGAAAATTCATGGTAATGGAAATGAAATGATGAAACGACTATGGTACTAACAAGAGAAAAAGAGACAAACGTATTTACATCTATAGGATTTAATCTATGAGAAAATGAGATAGAAGACAGTATGCATTTGTTTCTTATTTCAATTGACGAGTCTACGATAAATTTCATCAATGCTAGAGTCTATGAAAAATTCAGTCAATGCACTAATGTGAAAAAAATTTGTTTTTCAATTTATGAAAATCAATGAGCTACGTAGAAATTCGTCAATGCACGAGTCTACGAAAAGTTCAGTCAATGTTCATTGGTCATTGACGAATTTCTTCGTAGCTTATTGATCATTGACGAATTTTTTCGTAGACTCATTGAAATTTTTGGAAAAATGCACGAGTCCACCGATCATTGACGAATTTTTTCGTAGACTCATTGAANGATCATTGACGAATTTTTTCGTAGACTCATTGAAATTTTTGGAAAAATGCACGAGTCCACCGATCATTGACGAATTTTTTCGTAGACTCATTGAAATTTTTTGTAAAAATGTACGAGTCCACCGATCATTGACTAATTTCTTCGTAGACTCATTACAATAAAATATATATAAAATAAATATAAATAATATATACAATAATAATAATAAAAAAACAAATAAAAATTATTCTAGGATTCCTAAAAACCGGATCGAAAGGAAGCGCTCAAGGAAATTACGGATTAATGGATTTAGTAGCTGGACTTCATTGGTTGCGTGAAAACATCGAAGCTTTCGGTGGTGATTCAGAAAGGCTTGCATTACTTGGTCATGGTACTGGTGCAGCTCTTGCAAATTTTTTAGCCGTCTCACCGATGGCCAAAGGTAATACATACTTTTCTATTTTCAATCAAAATTACAATAAAATTAATAAAACAACAATTTTTCATTTGTAATTTTTTAATTAGAAAACTTTCAAATTTATTAAGTAGTATAAAATATTTTAATTACAATATCCTTTAAAATTATTGATTCAAAAAATAATTACGTTATTATATTATGAATTAATGAATTATTATTACAATTAATATATTATTTATAATAATATCATATATATAAATAAATATTTTATATAATATTTTATTTAATATTAATATAATATTATCTATTTAAAATAATATATAAATATTATTATATTATATATTATATTAATTATATTATACATTATTATTTTGATATTATATATATATAAATATTTTATATATATTTAATAATATAATATTAATTTACTTATTTAATA